TTTTCATGAAACATGTTAGTTTCGGAGTTCCAAATCTTTTCTGTTCGAGGGTTATATAAAAACATTGGAAGGGCAAAATTTAGCAAACCTGGGTGGATTCATCCTTCTAATAAGTTTCTCATATTCATCATCCATGTCTTGTGAATGGAACGTTCCGAAATCTGAAATCAACCCATCACAGAGATTATTCCTCGTATGATGAAAGAAACAGAGAGACATTCAAGGAAGCAAAATCTCCAAAAACCAGCCCAGAGAAGCTTCTGTCGAATATTCTCTCTCTCTCTCTTCTTGTGGAGGAGAGAGAAAGAGATAGACCTGCTTAACCATACGTGTAGGCCAAAATAACGAACAGAGACCACCGACAAAGAAATCTTAGGATTCTTCGAAAAGGAAAACACAGAACCCAGAAAGCTCATGGACATGATAGCATAACAGCGAACACTTAGCCTGCAATCCAACACTCTGAACTTGATGACGTTCTTACCGAAACGGATGAATCAACAAACGCATCCCGAAAACAGCGAAAAACCTCAGAGAGAATCGAACCAATGATAGAAGCAAAAAAAAAAACAGACATACCCATTATTGTTCTTCGTCCACTCTTCGATGCCCGACACTTCACCAAAAAAAAACGACAATAATAAAGTAGTTCAGTGATTCTGAAGACGGAGGCAGGAGAAAGACCCTCCATATATAATGGCGACCCACGAGATCTTTTCCTCCCCCTCTCTCTCGGAGAAAAAAAATTCAATATTTTTATTAAAAAACATATTCGTTTCTGCAATTAATTAACCGGTAAACAAAAACGGAGGAAAATAGAGAGAAAAAAAAAACTGACACGATTCCCCCATAAACGAGCAACTTACAAGGATTATTTTATATAATATTTATTTATTTATTTACTTACTTCACTTTCCCGCGGCTTCTTTCAGGAGAACCTTTGAGCTTCTTCTGATACTGTTCATATTATGCGAGTTGGCTTGACGAGAACGAGGCGGGGGGAGAAAAAGACGGGTGTATTGTAGTTCCAAGCGCATTTTAGCTACGAGTAGCCCGTTTTCTCGAGGCTTCCAAGTGGGTCGAAACTACAATACGCACAATGGGTTAAGGATAAAAAATTTTCAACACTCTTAACCACGTGTGGTGAAACATGCCAAGGTTTTGGAATCTTTTTTACTGAATGGATCCAACGTCTTAGGAGCTAAAAACGAGCGTACTGTTCAAATCAAGATTCTGATTCTGGAAATTCATAGTTTTAAGATTCGGTAATTAATTCAGATTTACTGCAACTTTTCCTAACGTAAAAACGATTTTTCACTATTTAATAATTTCGTTTAAAAAAATTAAAAGCTCTTGGAAAAATAAATCATATGTTCCAATTCCAAAAGATTTCAAGACACAATATATGTAAATAATATATGTAAATATTTGTGATCCAATATTTGACTTGAGAATGATAGAAAGTTAACATAATTTATATAGTTTATATATCAATGTATACTATTTCTTTGCTGTGAATCTGTTTGTTGTATCATAAAGAATTGGGAAACTATTTCATTTAGGGGTAACTGAATTGAATTCGATTAAAAACTAATAATTATAATTCCTCAAAATGGAAAAATGGACCGGATAAAAACAACTATTTTTTAAAAAAATAATTGAGCATGATATCAATAAAAACCTAAATAGAAAGAAACCAAATTGGATTCAATATAAAATTGAATGATTATAGTTTTATTAAAATCAAATCGGAATACATCAAACGGAAAATATGCTAACCTATGTAATTTTTTTACAAAAAATTAATACAGAATATTTAATCTTTCATTTTTGTTTCTTTAAAAGTGTTTTTTTCTAAACTGTTTAGAATAAATATATGGATAGAATGGGGGACGTAAGAAACAACCTCCAACGGTTCGGAACCGAACGTATCAAACCGAAAATGTGATATTTTTTGTGATACGAACCATCCAAAATTTTCTACCGTTATTGATTTTAGAAAAACTAAATTTTTTACAGCCGAACCGAACCAAATCAAAATTTTTTTAAGATGTAATTTTTATTAATAAAAACTAGAATCGAAACGAAATAAAACTGAAATCGAACCGAACCGAACTATTTTTTACAAGAATCTGAATCGAATACCGAAACGTCCACCGGGTGCAACGTCACTTGGAATTTAAACCACAAACAAGGGTATATATATATTGACATATACAACTAGGGGAGATTACTCAAGTGAAAAGTGGCATAACAATAAGTACAGAAACTACGGAACGGCGTCGTATTTGTTAGCGTTTTTTAAAGGCAAAGACGGAGACACAGAACAGTACCGGTAATAAAATGAGAAAGGATGCCCAAAGCGTGACAACGGTTATGAGCTTTACAGAGAGAATGTACAAAAAACCCTTACGTACTCTTTGACCGTACACTTGTTTTTTTTTTTTTTTGGAAAGAAGTCTCCTCCACGTTTTAGGACGCTCCTTACCTAACCCCTCATGGAATTTATGCGATCCCCACTCCGAATTCATATATTTCTGGTTCCTCACCAAACCCTAATATCATTAATTATTACCCTCTCCTATATGATATCGTCTATTTTTACATTATTTCTTTTCATCCTATCATCGCGTGTACTGCTTATTCCATGTCATCATTTCACGTATATATTCCAATGAGTGAGCAGGAATTCTTTTACATTCCCATTCAACCGCTGTTGCGATGTTTCATGTTGATCGCTATAATATTCATAAAGACATGAAAAACGTTACGAAACCACAAAATTGGTTTGTACGCGCTAAATATGATTCTGAGAATAAAAAACTACAAGGCTTATAATATTACCGTAAAATTCAGATTTTGTTAATGACACCAGCCGTATTTCATATAATAATTTTTTTTTTATCGAAATAGAAAAACGACCCCACGTACGGAGCAGTAGCGTAACCAGAGTTGGAAAAGGACCAGAGAGAAGGGTTAAATTGTTTTTTTTTAAATATATTAAAAAAAAAGAAATGAAAACAAGCAGCGGCCGAAGTAGAAAATTGAATGAAGTAGGAAAGGTAGATGCGGTCACATGCGTTTGGCAAAAATTGCCTCACCCCCATGTGACCTCTGCGGGCTACGATCCCCTGCCACTGCACCCCATCTTCACCCGGTGAACCTCTCCCTTACATGTGATTATAACGACGGGGGCAAAATTTTCAATAGCAGGGCTAATTTCACCACTGCAAAATCCAAAGGAATAGTGTAAGAACACACAAAACGCGAACATTGAATAACGTATCGTATAGTGAATCGAGAGCAGTTTTGCTTTCGGACAGTGTCGACAACAGTTAACTAAAACCGGTACATATCTTTGTCCGAATCGAATTGACGTGTATGTGACAGTACTCTTCTTCAATAATTAAAACATTTATTTGGTTTTGTCTTGTCGAGATTCAGCTCGTGGCTCGAAGTATGTATGTATCTACACGTATATACACTCACGTATACCTTTACATATACCCGACTGGACTTGCGCTAGATACCTTATGCGCACTGAGATTTTTTTTTTTTGTCGTCTTTTTTTGGTCAAATGTTTCTTTTAATAAAAATATAGTTTTAGTTTCCATGTTTTTGTTCTTCGTGTATTGACCCACATATTATGATATGTTTTATTTTCTGTATAGGCTCGATGCATGGCATTTAAAAAATAATAATAATAAACATTTTGTTCTCATTCGCATTTCAAAAACATATTGAATTTCTTCTAACTTGGTCATTCTTCAATAATCGTCCGTGTATATATATATGTTTTTGAACGGATTCAATATATATCATAGTCTCTTTCCCATCCATTGAATTAGATTCTCTAGTATAAGAATAAAGTTAAAAAAATGTGATATACATGTATATAACATGGACAAAAATACGTTAAAAGAATTTGGATCAAACCCTAATTATACAGAAAATTCTGATAGCATCTTTTAGCTCGCGCGATATATGCAAATACATAAGGTTTATAACAATATATCATATGCATATTATTTTACCAAGAACGTATAGAATGACAAGGAATGACTTCATCTGATGATGTCACGTAAAATATGCAAAATGCATATATTACAACGTAATATATATATATATATACACATATATGTGTGTGTGTCCAATCAAATTACTGTTACTGCGCACTTTCCTGGTAAAAAGGTTGAACAAATTAATGATAACGGACGAATAAAAAGACAGAGTTGAGTGGGGGAATAAGTGAAATCTTATGAGTATTCGCATTATATTTCACATATCCAAGTTCCATAGACAAAGCCGCGTAACATCGCATAGAAATAGGGGTGTCAATAAAATCCGAAGCCTGAAATCCGATCTTATATCCGTCTGAAAAATTAAGGGTTTAGATCTAATAATATAGATCCGATAAATAAATGGACAGACCGACCCACCCAAAAACATTCAGGTTCGAATCGAGTCCGACCTTAAATCCGTCCGACCCGTCCATTTAGCTCGAAAAAATATTAGATGGTTGGATTTCTACTTTCACTCGAGATTTTATGTCACACAACAAATCTCCTCCTTTCACCGAAACTATCATTATATATATATATACATTGTGGTAGACGGTTATTATTTGCTTAATTTCGATAAGTCGAATGATGTCAAATAAATAATTACAATAAAAAATACGATTTTTTTAATCAAGACTTGTAAAATATAATTTAATTAAATTCGATTGCCGTAACAAATCTAGGACTTCGAGATATTGGATTAAATACAACTATGTGTTCATAAAATATTTTTCCGAATGCCAAACAAATTCAGAGACGTATGAGAAAAAAAACAATGATATGAATATTCTTTTTTCCTATTTTGTGTATCAAACAAACTAATTTAATATCTCTATTTATATTAGATAGGAAAATATCTCGTATTAAGGATGAAATCAACTAGATTTGATTCTGATTTTTAATATTAATCTACTATAAATGTTTGATTTTCTAAATTTTTTTTTGGGTGACCAAAAAAAATTATAATGTTTGGAAAATGTTAAAGGCCCCGAGGAATTTCGTACGAACAAAGTGGCATTACAGATTGGCTTCCAATATGTGTACGCGGATACAAACGTAAACATCATATCTCCAAGTCATGTAATGATCATCAATTGTCACTTTTTTTAAATAAAAAAAAAATCGTCTAAACATATATGTGTATATGTATTTACAATACTTTCAATCATGGCCACGAGAATTCGTCGACACCGATAACAATTGATATCTAGACAGGATGTGTGAACATATTGTCATTTCAATTTTTTTTTGTCGGAGCTGTGTAATCATTTGGGCAATAACGGTTGAATGATTTAATTACGTGCAATCGTTGTAGGAGAAATTAGTTTAATATATTAATTAATTCCGATTTTGGTAATCGAGTTTATAGTCTGGTGTCCCAAACAACTCAAAGCTAGGCCTAATCCAATCATAGCTTTCAGGCTAGGGATCCATTAGATTCTTCATGAAATTCCATAACCCTATTTTTCCTCTAAATCGAATTTAATTAGTTTACTTCAAAAGATTATATAATTAATCCATGCTTAAGCACGCACTAACTGCCATGGCAACTGTCAGCCAAATAACTAACTAGACCTGCTTAACCATAGTCAGAGTTAATCACTGCTCAATATACTATACGAGTCAACGGTCAACCACACGGGAACAGACCACCGCCTCTTCGCTTGGGAACAGCTATTAAAAAACAAATCCCCTTAATTACACCCAGGATTTCATTATTATTTTTAAAATTTTTAAAAATCTCAAAAGAAAATTAGTTTTTTTTAGCAAATGAATAAACCTAACATTAGAATTAAAAGAACAAAATCAGAAACTGAAAAGTTTTGGAAAATCAATTTTTATTCCAATTTTAAAATCTACTGGATTTAATTTAAAGCTTAATGTTTTTTTTTCCATCCTTTTGGATTTATTAAAGCCAGAATTAGTGGAATATTTAAAGCA